CAATCCATCCAACCTTTGCAAGAGGGAAGTTTGGACTTCTTAGTGTTAGCAACATGGCGGGTGTGCTGTTCGAGGATATTTTCAACGTGAAAGACATCGATCCAGAGGGCAAAAAATTCGACAGGGGTGAGTCCATATTCAAGTTTATGTCTCGACGCGTTCGAGGATCGCCTCACCATGGCGGTACGCACGCCATTTTCACCGCCAAAGTGGCAGCGTTTTGCGAGTCGGTCGACCTTGCCGATAGCGCCGGCATAGACGAGCACATGGCATGACAGCTGACAATGAGTGTTCTCGACCTCCAGTCTCCAGTCGACGAGACAAGCTCTGCTTCGTTGTCACGGCCGACGCGATAGCTACAACGTCGATCGATTAAACCAAGCATTCGCGCTCCGTATCAATGTTATCAATCGACACGAGCGAACCGGTGTCGATAACGGAGTATTCGAACGCGGAAACAATAACGTCGAAATAAATGAACAATAGTAAAATTAAATCGATTCTTTAAGAAAAATCGCAATTCTCAATTTTATTTTCTTGATATGAAAACATAAAAATATATACGCACTATATTATCGTTAACCTAACCTAACCTAACTTGTTCTCAAATGGCCATATGCATAGACATATAGAAAATATATTTCTGTCTATGGCCATATGTAACACTGATTGCAGGATATATGAGGTATAGACTCTGTGAATTTATTTTCTCGGAATCTATTAAAGAGTACTGGACTGTATAAAGAGAGGTTAATATTTATAATTCAGACGAGTTTCGATCTCGATTTTACAGACACGTGGAAGAGATGTATATTTTTTTAAATTACACTGATTTCGAGAATCTTAATAACAATTGTAAAACAATACATTTATTTGTATATAAAAAGCAATTTGTCGATCGATATATTCTGTAGACACAGACTGTAAACAGATTTGATACTGAGATTAGCACTCTTTTCCTCTCTCTCTCTCTCTCTCTCTTTTCTCGCTCCGGAAAAATTTTCAAAAATCTGCGTATACGCGACAGGTGTCAATATTTTAGCGCACTCGTCTCGTACGACCTCGCGGCCTCGATACTCTCGTGACCTTTTCCGTTTTACGTTTTTGCTCGCTCGTGGACCATAAGAGAACGGAATTTGCAGAGCGACGTAGATCGAAGGAGTCGACCGTGACCGAATTCTCTGCCGGAATATATTGGATCTTCTCTGTGTACCACGCCCCTTTCAACCTTGCCGCACAAAGATTATCGACGTACGTACTAACGGACGCTTTTTCTCTAATGGATATGTATTTAGTGTGACCTAGTGAGCCAGTAGAGAATGCATTGAAGAAAAATTTGTCCGATCCGCGGTACAAGATTCTATAAAATTCAAATACTCGTTTAGTAGAATATTTCGATATCTCAATTAGCAGTTTGGAAAAAATGGTATTTCGCAAAAGGGAGATAGACGTATATCTTTATAATATACATATTGATTTTTAATCATCTCTATTACATTTTTGTTAGCTCTTCCTACAGATTCAAGTTTTCTCGACCATCCACATTAATATCGTATAAATTTTTATTATGATAAAGAAATGTGAGTGGACTTTTAATCTAAACAAACAGAAGGATGGGACGAATTACCATTTTCAATGTAGAAAATCTAGAGAGAGAGAGAGAGAAATTATATGAAATCTTTAGTTTTGCACCTAACGTAGCAATTATTTCTTTATTGAAAAGTACTACGTACACATAATTCTCGTACAGTCCAAATATCTCTCTTTCTTTTTCCTATACATATCGAAGACAGAATTCGAAACACAATATAAATCGGAGATTCCTAATTATTTCCAATTTAGAAAACCCAGATTATCGGCACAAGTTCGTTTGCGCGTATAATTCAGAGTAATCCTTTTGCCTCCTCTCCCTTTCTTTCATCTTTCATCTCGCGTTCGATAAAATACGTTATCACCGTATATGGCGTATATATCGATCAGCGAGCGCTCTCCTCTCCGCGTGCGATTGTGAATTCCGGACTCGATAAATTGGGTAGTGCCCATCGTTGGTTGACGAGCGAGCGTCGCAAAAACGAGAATGCCGGGAGAAGGGGGAGGGGGAGGGGGAAGGAGGGAAAGGAGGAAGGGTGAGAAGGGAGAGTCTCTCCTCGCGCTCTCTATCTCCCTTTTGAAAGAGAGGGATGGAACCGGGTGCTCGCTTGCGACCGGTCGATGCAGCAAGGATGCCCGCAGCCGCAGCAGCAGCAGCAGCGCCGAGCAACACGGCATTCGCGATTCGCGTAATATGACGCGTCTGTATTGCTGGGTTAGGGAGGTTGGGGGGAGGGGGCAGGGAGCAGGGTGGCGGACGGTGCTGCGCGCGCGGAAAGAGCCGTGGAGCAGCCGGGACGCGCGAGGCATCCTGGTGGGGATTGACACGGTCAAGGTCAGCCACGGTTCTAAGGTCGCGGGGGGATGTCATCTCAGAAGGGAGCGCCTGGATATGCTCTCTGTCTCTCTTCTTCTCACACGCTCCCTCCTCTCCAACTCTTCTTTCTCCCTCTTCATCTACCTATACCTATCCACCTCGTTTTGTTCACGGCCTCGCTTTCGGACCGAGTCGTAAGCGCGAGGACGCGCGAACGTTCTCCGTTTTTCTCTTTCCGCCTCCCCCTCTCTTCCTTTTCTCTTTTATTCTTTTCGCGTATGTGCGTTCGCTTGGACTCGTCCATCCGTCGGCTGACGTGGAAGAAGCATCTTTATTTCTTCATCTCTCGCGAGCTTTCCTCGCCGACTTTGTCGATGCGAGGACACGCGCGAAATTCCATTTCGCAGTTGTAAAGGCGAGAAGCAGAACCGATTTTACATATGAATTAAACGAGATAAGTAAGCTGTAAACGTCTCTTTGCGAACTCTCCCATCTTAAAAAAAAAAAGTATCGTTTTAACACATTATTACATAAAAAAACTACACAAAAGTATTACTTAAAAGAAGTTATAATAGTTTTGCATAATTTTAATTGGCATTGTTGATCGAATACTATTTTAAATAGCTCGCAATAATACTCGACGAAATCTGATTCTTTTTTGCTTTAAGTATATAAAATTTATAATTACTCGATCAAAAGTTAAGAAAGAGAAAGGACCGCATTTACATTTTACATCTCGCGGCTATAACAAGCTCGCGTAATAGGTACTAGGGAGAGGTACCGTGTTGGTATTTAAACTTTATTGTCCAGGGGAGGAGTCCACGTGGATCCCAAGGTGTAATCAGGTAGATCCTTGGTTTTGCCGGACGTTTATCTTTTTTCGCTCGAATTCTGCCTCCAAGTGATCGTTAGAGCCAACGGTCGCTCAGAGAGATTCTCACATATATTTATATCAATCGGACTTATCTCATCTAATTTTTATAATTGGCGGATGAATAAACGACGGCGATCAATTATCTCGCTCGGAATATTTTATAGAGATCGGTCAAACGAAATTGGATAACCTCGCGAGAATAAGAACGCGATTAAAAATTTGCAGTAATTTAAATTATTTTCAAAATGTAGATTAGTTATAAAGTCTGAGAGTTAATTATACAAGTTGAGTAATTGCTAAATGAATAAATAGCAAACGCTACGTATTATTAGCCACAACGTTTGTTACGAATCGATTTTTGTATCAAATCTTCTTTTCTATTTTGACAGTCAAGTATATAATAAGTATAGAATAATTTGCTTGGGAAGCTTAAGCAAATTGTTGGCAGGCGATAATAATTTTCTTGTTCTCTCCAACAACGTTTACTCCCGGCGCGTATGTTTCTCGACATTATTTTTAGATTGAGAAATTCGTCACATGTACACATACAACGCAATGCGCAACCAAATTCTAACGAACGATACAAAAAGATTGCACTTTTTAAAATTTAAAAATTATTAGATATGTCAAATTTTCAAAAATCTTGATTTTAGTATTTAGTACATTACATTATTAAAGCTATAAAGTATTAGCAAACACGGATGTGTGTCTAAAACGATATTCAAGATGTTTAATTGTGTTATATCTACATTTTATCCTGCTTCTGCACGTTTTTCTATACGTTTACATTTGCCGACGGTGCAATTGCTAATAATTGCGCAATGAGAGAGCTAGAGTTTGTCATATCGACGCACACACACACACATACACAAATATTAATCTTCAGTACGTGTTGGCTGTTTGATGAAATATGCACTTATTAATCTCGTGTTATTTCGTCGCGAATGTCATTGATAAGCGCGGTGCGCGACGAAAGAAGAATTTTTGTGAAAAATGCCCCCGGTGTCGAGTATAAAAAAATAAGACGAAAAGAGAAGTTTTATAAAAAAATAGAAGAAACGCGAGGATCTGTAGACTAGCGAAGTGATAAAATCTGAATGAGATTTGACAAAGTTATTATCAAGTAACGAAAAAAAAATAGACACCGCTCTAAGCGGAAGAATCTTTTAACTTTTTCATGGCTGAAGTAACGTAAACTACATTTTTTACATATCTATAACTGCGATCTTTGACATGAGCGCGTACAATGTGTTGTGTACATACAATGCAACAATAGTATAATACATTCAGCATAATTGGCTAGGTTATAGAAAATTTGTATGCAAGCGAGTGAGCAAAGTAACTAATAGTCATTTTGAATAGAATATATCAGGTGATTGCATAAGTTCGTGCCCGATTTAAATATAAACTTCAATAGATTATATTTTAGAGATAACACTTTTATTAATCAATTATATAGTCTCCATTCTTTTCTACAATGGTTTTCCAACGATCTATAAGCTTGTCGATTCCATTTTTGAAGAAAAAACTTGGTTTTTCTTGAAAAAAGTTTGTAAAGTGGTTTTCGACAGCTTCCTCGGAATTGAGATTCTTGCCATTTAAACTATTCTGCAAAGACCGGAACAGATAAAAATCTGAAGGCGCAATATCTGGAGAATATGGCAGGTGCTGCAGAATTTCCCATTGCAACTCCTGCAATTTTCGCAGCGTCTGTTGAGCGACGTGTAGCCTAGCATTGTCGTGGTGGAAGATGACGCCTTTTCGATTGGCCAAAATCGGACGTTTTTCTCGAATAGCTGCAGCGAGTCTAGTTAGTTGCTCACAGTACTTGTCCGCCGTGATTGT